CAGTGGAGAAAAGTAAGTATTTACACAAGTACTTTTCTTGAGAAGAGTTTTGTTGTACTTGAACTTTACTTCAGTGTTTTAGTTTTACACTACTTCTGCAGGAAATATTGATTTTTTTACCCCACTAGATGTATTTGACAGCTATAGTTACTAATTACTTTTCAGATTAAGACTTTACATTAACAAACATATGATAAACATGTAAAACACATATTTTATGTACCCAATAATATGACATTATTGGAGATTCAACCAGTGGTTCCCAACCTTTTTGGCTTATGAAAAAGTGGTGTCTAGTATGATGAGAAGGCTAGCTATAGACCTTTTTATTGACCAATGATACTAATTAAGGCTCTGTTCCATTTAGTACAGCAGAGCCTTTCCAGCACCCTGACTCCCCTGAACCTTAATTAGTGTCATTAGTAACACCAGTGTTTACCCCTACTATTTCATGTAAAAATGTCTGCTTTTCAAAAAGGTCTATTACACACCACAAGTCCCAAAAATTGAATGTGTGTAGCAGAACTTTTTCTAAAGTCTTCTTTCCTGCCCCATTAATCATTTCACGACCACTCAGATTAATTTTATGACCTTTAATAGGGGCCCGACCCTGAAGTTGGGAACCACTGGACTAAACTAATTGTATATAATGTAACCTTGTTAAAACCAGCTAAACCTCGAGCAGCTACAAAGTTCTGCTAACACTTTGATGCACTAGTATTAAAGGTCCAGTGTGTAACATTTTATCTGTTGGTAGAAACGAAATATAATATTCATAGCTATGTTTTCATTAGTGTATAATCACCTGAATATATCATCATATATAATAAACACTGGCTGTAGATAAGGCCTTTTACAGTTTCTTCTACATTGTTGGAACAGGAGGGTGAGGCTAGGGCATTGCAATTAGCAACTACACCGCTAGATGCCAATAAATCCTACACAGTGGTCCTTTAATAATCTAATAGTGTTATAGTCACAGGGGCAATTTTTCTGCAAAACGAGCACTTTTACTTTTGATATGTTAGGTAGAATCATCATCTCAATATCATCTTTTAGCTCTGTGTTTGATCTCCACCAGCTCCTAAGAATAACATCTGTCTCTTTAGCTGCTGAATGCTCCACTTCGTCTGTCTGATGCAGTGGGTTTTTACAGCCAATGACCAAAACAATGAGCTAAAAGGTGCTAAAGTGCTTGTGGAGGTGAGGGAAACTTTAGAGTCAGTTTAATAATTAAGTGTGTTCATCACTACACTTCTGCCAGCAGTAATAAGTAATTCCAACCGGTCCACTATACATTTAACCTCATTGTCACTTTGAAAAATTTGCTATCAAAACTCACTTTCTCTAATTCAGAGAGAAGAACCTGGTGTCGCCCCACCTCGCAGATACGAAGCCTATTCATGTGCTGCTTTGTACAGTGACAGTCGTGAGTTGAATGAGGAGAGAGGCAGAGTGTGTGAGTGTATGTGTGAAAGAGAGAGAGAGAAAGAGAGAGAGAGAGAGAGAGAGCTCAGTTGCCTTAGCAGCGCAGCTTCATTCCTTCACAGTCGGGCTTCAGTCCGGTGCTGTGAGCGCTGCGGTGCGCTGCGCTTTGCGGGTCTTCCACTCACGACTCCACGTTAATTAACCTCTCAAACAGTCTTTGTCCTCCACTCATTCCGCGGTGTTACCATTATTATTATTTTTTAAATCACTAAGTTTGGGCTTTTCTCCAAGTTTTCTCCAACGCCGCATTTTCTCCGGCTGTTATGAAGAAAAAGGCGACGGCGGCAAGTTGACTCTCCAGTTTTGAAACCAGCCCGGTGCAGGTGCAATAACAGGCTACACATCAGTATCCCGGCGCCGGAGAGGATGGCTCTGCAGGCGGCCAACGTGAGCGTGGCGGACGGCTGTGTGGAGAAGGGGAACCTCAGCATGGAAGTTACCGACTATAATATCAGCTGCACCAACAGCTCCGTACTCCCCAAATCCACCAGAGTCAGAGGTAGGATTTTCTTCTTCCTCTGCGCATTAAGCTGCCTCTCATGAATCACCCAGGCTGAGGTGGATGTATTTAAACTGTATTTATGCTTCAGATTGCAAAAGGAAACATCTGGCCCCAAAAACAGATGGGTTTGAAAGAAACAGGGTGATAGACCTTATTGTTAATTCTTCTCATTTGTGTCTTGCTTATATTTCTAAATAATAGCTACAAATAACTTCACATGTGATCCCTTCCTACACAATGAAAATAAAAGCACCAAAAGAGTTTAATTCAGCTTGATAATGTTGTTTGGCTCTAATTACAAACTGCCACCTATGACTGATCGCCTGCTTAAGTTGATTTACTGGTTGCACTTTTACCTTCTAACCATCACTGACTTTTAATTTTCGTACTTCCCCCGACTGTGTTTACCATAAAATGATTTGCAATCAGGAGTTTTGTTTAAATCAAGCTGCTCAGCCACATTGTATGCAATCAATCAACCAAGCAGCCCAATTTGCTGCTGCTCCCTCTCCCAGTCAATAATGACACAATCTGGATGAGCAGCAGTGTCAGTATGTACAGGGAGGGAGAGAGAGGACGTTTTAATTCTGAGTGTTTATTGTCCTCGCCCATAATTCTCAAAATGCTCACTACCCGTTGAGATTAAAACCCCACACTAGAGGAGATAAGGCCCCCCGAGCTGCGTCTTATATCAGGACACCAGTGGAAAATGAAGGCCCTGATTGGGTAATGAGGTCTGAACGTGGGAGGAAGAGTTGTTTTTCTTAATTATTTTTTTATCTCCCCTGCAACTGCTGCAGTATCCAGAAAATTTCAAATATTCTCCTCACTAAATAATTCACAACCGCTCCTCCTTCAGTGCTGCGTTACTTTTGTTGACCTTATACAGGAGGCATGCTGGAACATCATCAGCAGGCCGGTAGGCTCAAATACCCAGAGAGCAATCAGACGCTGTGGGGCGTGTTCAGTGTTTGACCAAGAGAAATGTCCTGTGCACAGCCTGCTGCCTCCATCTCATCCCCCTCTCTCTCACACAGAAACAAGTCTTCTTTTTATTTACCTTAATCCTTTATTGGGCCTATTCCTTCTCCCCTGTCTCCCTTCAGGCCAGGAGAGAGCAATGGAGCCTGATTATGCAGCTGTATTGCTCTCAGATGTGATACTCCAGTGCAGGACAGGAAATTAAAGCCTCACCTTCCACTTGTGGATTTACCGCTGTGCGATCTGTTGAATTGGAGATTTTGTCCTTCACTTGCTTCTGATACAGTAAAAAAAATACTTTGATGTTTCTGTTGTTGATTATATTGGAAAAATGTGCATAAATCACATATTCTTTCAACTTTTTCATACAATTTACACTTTGAACCAAAGCTGCAACTATCAGCTGTTTTTATTATTGATTAATCCGCCAGTTGTTTTGTTTTTGATTAATTAATTAATTGTCAGAAACATCGCTGAAATGAATGAATAAAGCCTTTTATAATCTCCTGAAGACCCAGTGTATTGTCATCATGACCAACAAAGACCAAAGAGCTGAAACCAAAATGGAACAAAAATTGTTAATCAATTATTTAAATACTAAATAAAATGCACCTATGAGAGTCAAGGAAATATATTTATTCATATTTCTACATTGTGTGTGCTGCATTGGAGCACTGAGCATAAAGCAGTGACAGTTTGAATAAAAAATGTCATTTATATGCATTTACTTTTGTTTTAACCCAGAAAAAGGTCTAAAAAGTATAAATCACATATTTTGAGTAACAATTCTCAACTTGTTTTATAAAATAGACACCAGTTTTGATAGTTGACTATGAACTGTAAACAGATAGTGATGCATTTTACTAAAGCAATGAGCGCTGGCTTTATATGTGTAGAACCTATCTTACTATTATCATCTCATTTATCAAATAATACCAACTTTTTAAAGATTAAATACACACTCAGTGTTGTTCTCAATATTGGAATCCATCATAAGATTGTTTTTCAAAAGCTACAATCACTTCCTGAAGTTTATACCTTTATGAACAAGTCTTGTCTCCCGACTTTAGACTGCTGATCGTATTTCAAACAATTACTGTGCACTGTAGGCTGCTGCATTACACTGCTGCCACCCCCCTACCTGAATTGCTTTGTTTTCCTTCCTCTTTCAGTAACTATAGATGCTATAGTATAGAGGATTTCAATCTGCGAGGGCTGCCTCTTTAGGGAGGTGTGGGAGAGTGGGGTGGGGGGGGTTGAAGGGAGAAGCTACCATGTGAAGTGAAAGAGACAGGGGCATGCAGTTGTTCTGAAAACAATGGGAGGTTAGTTATTGTAGTTTGGCCCGATGAGCTGGTCCACTTGCCAGCAAGGTCAGCCGTTGGAGCTCCAGCAGTGGTAGCTCGTGGAGGCAATGAAAGGAGCCTTAAAATCTGCAATTTCTGCCCAAAATTGCACTCCTTCTCGGAGTCATAACTGAGGCAAATCTGAACACACAGACGTGATACACACAGTTTTAGATTCTATGTGAGTTAAACTGTCAGAGGATAACAATATCTCTGATGTCCACCGTGCATAGCCATCCATGTACCAGCTTAGAAATCCTAGAAAAAGACGCTCCTATATAAATCCAGAACTTGCCTCAGAATCATCACGTTTTTAAGTTTTCTTCATTATTAAAGTGATCCAGTGACATTTGTCTGTACATCCACGAGTTCATGGCAAACAGGAACTGCTAAAAGCTAATTCAGCAAGCTAAATGCCCAAAATATCATTATAATTCTGGAGACACAGACTACTTTGTTTCATCTCTCGTCTGCAGTCATTGCTGCTGCATTTGAAGGAGCAGCTGTAAAACTCCCGCAGCACTAAAACGAAACAGCACCTGACACACATCACATTACAGTAATCATTCAGGACTCTGGAGAGCACTTCAGTTCAGACAGGGCCTGCTCATGTGGAACAACATCTGTAGTTGCACCTTGGCTCGGCCCCCGGACACACTCTGTTCCCCGCTGATTCAAAGTGACACTTTGCTGAGCTCACTTCGTCCTTTTGAGTCCATGTGAGATAAGTTATCATGAAGTGGATCTCATAAGCATTAAATGAACGCTGTTTCAGAAGAGAAACCAACCCTGGAGACTTATTACTGCAGGGGGAACGGCTCAGGAGCTTCTAATATCTAACCAATTTTCTACGACGAGGTGTCTCGTAGAAGAAATTAGCATCTTTTCCCCTTTGGGTATGTACACGGTGATGTAGGCTGTCATAACATGATCACGGTAATCAGAACAAATAATTGGAAAGCTATGAAGCGACCTGGTGAGTCGGAACAAACGGCGCACACACGCAGGCACTGAGTCTACAAACTATTCGGAGCATCATCCTCTCTGATAATGAGGTGCTGCCTCTTCCCAGAGCTTAAAAAAATACCTTCTGTGTTAGTGTACAGTACATTTAATAAGGAAAATCAATAAGAGATTCTAGCTTTTATCTCATAAAGTTCCCTCCATTAAAACATCGCAGATCATGACGCCTGTAGAGTGGGACAGTGCAAATAAAGATCCCATCAAACATGTGGGCACCCCCTCGACCATGCAAAAGCTGTATTGAGCTGTAATGCCCTCTCTCTGCACACTTGGCTTTATTAACTCGCGATAACGGGGGAGTGGAGGGAGGCAGAGCTGCAGCTTTATGGGGTTATCTGGTATCAGTTTGACTCAATTTCACTCTCGGTTAATCCTTAGTCATGTGACTCTCCAGTGTAGTATAAGTGACAAAGCAAAAAGCCAGACTTTATAAGACTCGACCCTTGTGCAACCATACATAACAAGGATTTTTAATGGTTCTGAGATATAGGAGCTGTGATTCCTTTATTTTTTACTCTGTTAAGCCCGAATCACAAAGTTTAAGGTCTCTGTAGTCCTGAGAAAGTCCAATCGGTAATTGCACTCAATCCCCTTTGGAAACCCCGGTGCCTTGCTGCGGGCTTTGTTTACAGGGTGATTTGTGGGATTGGAGAGGCAAACACCTCGGCTGAATGTTTAATTTGATAAGGAGATCCCTTTAGATGCTCCTCTAATGGCTACAAGGAGCCGGTTGCAATGAGACAACACTGAAGGAAATAAGGGAAACGCTTGTTTAATCAGTTTCAACAAGTTCAGGTTCATGTAGTTGATTTCACTTCCTTTAATGAGTGTCTTAGTGGCAATTAGAACAATTTAAATAAAAATGGCTACATCTTATCCTTCTGAAACGGAAAGACACTTTACACAACGAGTTCATAACTCACCGTTCTTTAAATTAAAGAGAATAAAGGTTCGTTACAAGAATCAATTTTACAAATTATTCTTTTTTAGTCCACATTGGAGAGAACATCCAGCTGCTGTTTAAACCCTCTAAATTCTGCATACAGCCAGACACGAGCCTTTGTTATTTTGAGTCTATATCGCCTACAATTCAGGCTATATACAGTTATTTTATAATTACTTCTATTCATTTGTCCTTTTTCTTTCCATTTTTTTAGTTTAATATTTATTTTGTTTTATTTTCAATTCTTTTGTAAGTCACTGTTTGTTGTCTTCTTTTGCTTTTGTGTTTAAAAAAAACCCATTAATTAAACTGAAATGACTGCTCCATTATTATATTATAAAGGGCTGAAGAGGTTTGCTTGGGGATGCTTTTGCCTTGATTGACAGGTGTCAGCCTGTTGCACTCAGCAAGGTGGTTGTCTCAGATTCACTAAGTAAGCAGTCGAGGACACTTTTAGTATACAGTGCTTTACCGACTTAGAAGTTACCTTAGAGGAAGAAGAAAAAGAAAGAGAAAGATGAAAGAGAAAGAGAACAAAGTTTTGAAGGAATATTTTTTTGGAAATACTCTTGTTTGCTTTCTTACGCAGGATGTGTTCAGGCGCAGTATTGAGTGTAGGTCACCCACGTGTAGCGCGAGTAAAACTGGAGCTTCTTAACAGCCTGTGTCTAGCTGTATTGATTTGAAATCTCCAACTGTAAACA